TCGATGACTGGAGCGATGGTTTCGATCGCTTTTGTCGCCGGACTTCTCGTACTTGTCCTTTGACTTAGATCTCGATCGAGACCTCTCTCTGTCTTTGTCTCTGTGTTTACGCGAAGAACCCATCGATTGATTCAATACTAAACAATCACACGATTTGATTGTTTCACTGATTTATATAACAATCAATGCATTTATGGTTTGTTTCCTTCAAAACACCACTCAATTCATTAAAGCAACGATTTTTACAAACTGTTCGCAACAAACGTTACGCTTTTTAAGGGGGACTTTAAAGGCAAACACAGCCCCCAAACAGTCATACTATCACTTATTTTAAGCACAAACACCTCTTTTATTAAACATTAGTTTTTCTATTTATGAGTAACGATATATAAGAATAGGATTTATACTAAAGTGTACAACAGATGGCATTCATAATGAATTGAATGACAAAAACACATGACTTTTGACAACAATTTAGTATTTATTTTGCATTTTGTTTCACAATTCAAACTAAGTTTTCATTAAAATTGCATTCAATTTAAAACAAGGCTTTAATCATAAGAAAAATGTTGACTAAATTAGTGACAAACAGATCAGTGATACAAAGGGTGGGCCGAGTGTTGCGGCCAATGGGTGTGAGTGGAAGCGCTGAGAGATGTAGTTTGCATTCTTCGGCGGTGAAGTCGTTTCTGGTGCCGATAGTCGTGGAGCAGACGGGAAGAGGTGAGCGATCGTATGATATCTACTCTCGACTCCTGAAGGAGCGGATCATTTGCCTGATGGGAGGCATCAACGACGAGATGTCATCCCTAGTGGTCGCTCAGCTGCTGTTCCTTCAGTCAGAATCGGCCAAAAAGCCGATCCATCTGTACATCAATAGCCCGGGAGGTGTCGTGACGTCAGGTCTGGCCATCTATGACACGATGCAGTATATACTGCCGCCGATCGCCACGTGGTGTGTCGGTCAGGCCTGCTCTATGGCCAGCCTATTGCTGGCCGCCGGAGAGCCCGGTATGAGACACTCGTTGCCCAACTCCCGCATTATGATCCATCAGCCGTCGGGTCAGGCCTCAGGACAGGCCACTGATATCCGCATTCACGCCGAAGAGATTCTGTTACTCAAGAATCGGATCAATGGCTTATACGCCAAACACACGAAACAACCGCTCGCGAAGATCGAGGACAGTATGGAAAGGGATCGCTTCATGAGTCCGTCTGAGGCCAAAGAGTGGGGTTTCATTGATGTCGTACTCGAAAAGCCACCGCTTATTAATGAACCCAAAGATAATGATAACTAATTAGACAAACTATTTGTTAGTAATTTTTATCACTTTTTATTAATAATTATTTGATTTATATTTATTAATAAATGATTTCTAATATAATTTTTGTTATTATTTGATGCAATTTTGGGCACAATTTCCATAATTATATTGCATTTACGAACCAAACGCTCGTTTATAGTCCAAAATATTACATAATTATATGGAGAGAGAGAGAGAGAGAGAGAGAGATTCAGTGATAGGACGGGATGTAATGTATAATGAATTGAAAATATACTCTATATTGAAATAACTATAATTTAATCCATTAATTATATGAAGGTTTGGCTAAAATGGTAATAATTAATGAATAATAGAAACATTTCTAATGCAGTAATTAATTATTGGGAAAAGCGGTTATTTTATGTTAACGTTTTTGTTATGTTTAGTGTTTTATTTGTGTTTGACATCAAAATTAGTCTAATCTGCGAATAGCCTATACTATGGTATAGTAATGTGTGTTTCAAATAACTAATAAATAATGAACACAATTATTAGTTACGAAAATCTTGTTTCGATTCCTCTTTCCAATAGAAAACAGGAAAAGTCTTAATTGAATAACAATTTAAAGCTTTTAGTCGTATTTTGATTAAAGTTTTTGTTTGTTATCTAAACTCTGTATTAGTATTGAATGTCTTTTCACCGCATTTGTAAATAACTGTCTTTAAGAACCCTATTATTAGATTTGATTTGAACGAAGACATGAACAGACATGACATTCATTAGCGAACAGTTTGTCGTCTTTTCTTTTCGGCAACTTTTGTTTGTCTCACTATCTCTTCAGTTGCCTAACAGTTGGCTATAATTTGCCGCTCAAGTCATCACTGGAACCAACTATTAAATAAACGTTCACTTCTTATACTCACAACTACTATATGTTTCGCCCAAAAACTCGAACCAAATCTTTCATTATAATGGTATCGATTTGTTCGTTAAGGATCTGTTAGGGCTGAGCCATAGGCGCAGGCATTTCCCGGTCATACTATGGTCTATGGGGTCACCAATTATATGATTCATACACTTATTTCTCTTATTTCTCCGATATTCCTCTTCTTTACGACACTTTTTGATATTGTTTTACACTAATTATGTTTTCACATGTAATTTGTGATTCCCAGTCATCACAGATCATAATTACTAACAATAATTACTAATTAGTTATAGATTTACGAAATGAGAAAATAAAAACAAAAAGGTTTGAAAACTAGGAAATTTAATTATTAATTGCATGTTATAAACAGAATTTGATTACAAGTAATCTATTATTATATGATTTATTATTTATAAAATAATGATAAATAGTTAGCGCACAATAGGACCAAATAAATCAGTTTCGCAGCGCTTATGTCGGGTCACGGAATCGACAGAATAGTCACAAGAGATGTACAACACGTCCGAAAGGTTATAATTAAGGCGAACGGCGCTTATGTTAGGCTTATGTTAGGGTCAGTCGGGGTATCATTTAATAGCTAACGAAACAAAGTATTGAAAGTAATGGTCATTCATTCATATTGTTTGAGTAATTATAGTCTGTGTCGCTAACGATCCTCTCCACACATCCTATAGCCATCACAAACACAACTGAGTCTATAGTTAAATAAAGTATTGTCTACTTGAGGGGAGAGAGAGAGAGAGAAAATCAGTGTTTAGTCATTAGAGAGTTGTGTTGAACCAAAGTTGTGATGTATTTGTGATATTATGTGATAGAGAGTAAAAGACTCTCTCTCTCTCTCTCTCACTCTCCTCTCCACACATCCTATAGCCATCACAAACACAACTGAGTCTATAGTTAAATAAAGTATTGTCTACTTGAGGAGAGAGAGAGAGAGTCTTTTACTCTCTATCACATAATATCACAAATACATCACAACTTTGGTTCAACACAACTCTCTAATGACTAAACACTGATTTTCTCTGTTTTTCGTCTTCACATCAAATAAAGCAAAAATTTCTTTGTTTAACGAAGACATGGGTTTTTGTTCGGAAACTCTTTCGGTGACAATCAGTGAATACATTGATAGCAGTAATAGTGAGGAGAGAATGAGAGGATTCACTATTTACTGACAATTGGGTTAATTTCAAGTGAAACACGTTTGGAGTTAGCGGTGAACCAGAGATATAACGACCAGGACTTAAGGCTTACGAGTTAGGGGTTAGTCATGTATGCAAGCATTGACTTGATTTGATGGATAAATTGTGTGCAGTATTACCAGTAAATTGAATGCAATTCAAAGAGTGTTGTTTCCCCTAAATCTCTTGTATATCACACTCTTGTATAATAGACTGTATTTTTAGTATTGAAAACTAAAAAACTTGACGATTCCGTGACTGGAATTGAGTTTTGAATAACTCTTGATTTGTCTAATGCTTTAAAAAGTAGTGTTTTTTCAACAGTAAATCAAGTGAAGTAAGTAATGAAATGAAGTGAACAAAGTTATCACATGAAAGCCTCTATTTTACTCTTTTGAGAGTTCATTAAAAGTGACAGATCTTTGCAAAAATATAAATGATTTTCTTTGGATTAATTCACACGATATATAAAACTTATTAAACGAAATAAATTACATTTCATGTATTTTATGCTCTTTTAATTCATTAAATTTTTAGTTTTCGTATTAACTTTAATTGAATGCTAACAATGAATTGTAGGCATAGGAGTAGAGGACATGTTTGATGGCTGATCCCAGGGGTGGCTCTGTTTTTCCCACACTATAAGAGGCAAAAGACCGACAAATAAGGGCTCAAATTTGATGCTCAATATTGTTAGTTATTATTTCACACGATATATAAAACTTATTAAACGAAATAAATTACATTTCATGTATTTTATGCTCTTTTAATTCATTAAATTTTTAGTTTTCGTATTAACTTTAATTGAATGCTAACAATGAATTGTAGGCAATAGGAGAGCAATGGATACAAATGGGAGGTTTGGGTAGTAATGGGACAGCAATTGAGAAGAAAGTACTGGAGTTTCAAGAATTTTACAATTGATGGCTAAAGAGTCCTCATCTCACCATTCAGTTGATTGCCTGCTTATCAGCGCTTGTAATCAAAGTATTGCTTTTAACCAACACGTGACACATCATCTAATATACGTATGACTTTATCTGATAATTATTATAATAACTAACAATATTGAGCATCAAATTTGAGCCCTTATTTGTCGGTCTTTTGCCTCTTATAGTGTGGGAAAAACAGAGCCACCCCTGGGATCAGCCATCAAACATGTCCTCTACTCCTATGCCTATTGCCGTGTATTGTACTCTATCTGTGCGGTAATACACTCTCAATACACTCTCTTTTGTGGTGATTAGCATCTCATGAATCTCATACTCATAGCTCCCAATACTTTATTATTATTATTATAGATATTTGTGTTGTTAGTCCACAACACTATACATATAAAGGGCAACAGCGGGTGTCGGCTCTGTTGGACTCATTGCAGCCCCGATAGTAGGAAGTGAATGGTATTCATTATATTTCACTTTATATTCATTTACCAGTTTTATTCCCAATTATTTATTTATTGGACTCCAAATTGTATTGTTATAAATACAGTATTTATTATATTTTACCAGAAACTCTAATTCCCTTAAAACTCTCATAAATATTCCCAAATTTCAAATCACATTTTATCATCTTTTCTCTCTTTTGTGGCTTATATTGAGTTTAATATTTTAATTGTTATCAATTAATTTCACAAACCATTCTCTCGATGGCATACAAGCGATAAAATATTAGTTTTCAATTGAAACCAAATCTTATACAATATTGAAATTGTTAGTTAAATAATAGGTTCTTGTAATTCATTGCAAGAATACAAAGAGTAGTGAGTAATGTATTCATCAAAATTCATGTGTGTGTCTGAGAAGTGAGTTTTGATTAGAAGAGAGAGAGAGAGTTGTGGAGAGACAGAGGCATAGGATTGAAAAAGGAGAGTGAAGTGAGTGGGAAAATGTATGCATCCGTTGCCTCAACTGTTGATTGCTATGTAGAGACACACGACTCCTGGATTGAGGACCAGACCAGACACGTGTGTCTTCGGCACAAATGCAGTGCACAAATGCAACCAACCCTCGAGTGAAGACCAACTCCGGACTGATGAGCAATATTGCGAAGAGTGATGGGATGGCACCCAATCATGTCATACCAGTGCTCTCACTCTCATAGCCCTGTCTGGAGTAGTGGTGAATAATAACGAGATTTGCACTCAAATCACAAACAATGAGCAAAACATGTATTTGTCGTACGCTTTACGGCATAAGGAATGAAGAATTATATGATTGAATCCAAAGCTAACATTAACTGCAATTTTGATGCATATATTGTTCGCGTCAACAGAAACGACACAATTATATAATAGCAAAAACATTGTGTGTGTGTTGTATGGCATGTATGGCATGTATTGGATGGCATACATCAACGTCTCGTCTCTCTATTATTATTGGATTTAAGTTGGGATGAAAGCTGTGATGCGATCACACAATCAGCTCATTGTTTAATATCAATAATAGCGCAGACAAATGAAAACCTCGTTTTTCAATGACAAACAAACTTATAATTTTCATCTTAAAAACGGCCAAAACTTTCGCTCATTCTCTCCATTGCTGTCTATAATCATAATTCATTCGCTAAAAACATTTCTATGACTTTCTACGACAAAAAAGTCATTATTTATCATATATTTTGAATGATATAAATCTTTCATAACTAAGAGATGTATTTATTGATTAAATATATCATTTGATGTCAATATAAGCTATAATAATCTGATATCTCTTGTTGTCTAAACTTTTATGATTAGTTTTGGGTTATTTGAGTCGATAGTAATTCTCAAAACAAGAGATCACATTTCAAACAAAACCCAATTTAACTCCAACTCTCTATTCAATTATTATCCGATACTCTCTCTCTCTCTCTCTCTCTCTCGTGATATTTGTGTGTAATTTCTAGCGTTTGAATTGAGACGAGAA